AAAAACTCCCAATCAATTAGATTAACCAACAAAACTTGTGAATCACACTATAAAATTAATATAGACTTATAAAAAGTAATTAAATTAAATTATGAAGATTAATAAAAAAATAAAATTAATATTCAACAATAAAATTAAAAATAAAAAAAATTATTTTAATAAACAATATTTTATAAGAAAAAGAATAATAATTTCTACTCCTCAATTAGTTCTTGTTAATATCATATTTTTTTTATTTCATATAAGATATTTTCAAATGAATGAGATTCTGAGACAACTTCATGGAGAAATTAGGTTTTTTATGATTTGATTGATAAATGACGTGATTAAAGTGAGAGTGATCGATAAATTTGACTGATAATTTAAAAAATAAGATTAACTTGGAAGAAAAAACTCTATAATATCTAATCATTAAATAGAGAATGCATATATGCACTTGGTGGCCTAAAAATCACATGGCTCAAACAGCTGGAACAATAATAGTTATTATTGTTTTGAAAATTGTGTTTTGTGATGAATAAATTCTCACTATTAAAACTATATTAATTTCTAGATGGGCCCCCAAAAAATAGACATGCTGAAATTGATGGGACATTCATCCTTATAAATCTTTCCTCTCACCTAATTTTGTTGGATTCATATGTGAAAGGAATCCGTACTCTGCAGTGTATAGAACAAACCCGATGGACCTTTCAATTAAAGAAGGAAAGATACAATTCTATAGGCTATCAAATTCTTTCTAGGCTAAAAACATGAGTTTAGAAAATGATGAAAAAAAGAGATGGTTTTTGTTTTTTTTTGGGTAATACTACATTGAGGTCAATTATTTTTTTTAATTGTTTAAAAAATATTAAAATAAATAAAAATAATAATATACTATATAATATATTTTTAAAAATAAATATTGAGCAAGTAATTTACTTTAATAAACAAATTATTTAGAACAAATTAAATTCAACAAAGAGCAAAATATAAAAATATTTAGTATGTTTTTAAAATTAGTGAAAATCATATGTGTGTATATTATGAAGCTTAATATACAATTAAATCAAATATTAAATAATAAAATTAAAAAAATATAAATTTAATAAAAAAACAATTTTAAATTAATTCCTTAAATTCATAATTCCTTAAATTCTAAATTCAAGATCAATCAAGAAAATTAATTTAGTATTGAAGTATAAAATAAAATAAATAAATTTAAAAAACTTGTCAATATTATAAAATAACAATGATAAAATGATGATAAAATCTTATATATAAATATAATGAAGGAGAATGAGATTATATATAAAAAAAATTTAATTTTAAAAATAATTTAAAATAAAATAATAATAATCAAAATAAAAAAAATGTATAATGAAGGAGAATGAGATTATATATATAAAAAATTTAATTTTAAAAATAATTTAAAATAAAATAATAATAATCAAAATAAAAAAAATGATAAATGATAAAATAAAAAAAAAATAACAAATCCTATGGGAAAGAAATCCTATTGTAAAATGTTACAAGGGTAGTCACGAAAACTGATAAAAAAAAAGAGAAAAGAGGAGGGAAAAAAAAGAAAAAGAAAAAAAGAAAGAAATCACTGCCAAGTTGCCGGGAATTAAGTCACTTGTGCCGGTAGCCCATGCCGTTGCAAATTAGAAACCACCAAGGAAGCGGGTTTTTACCCACCTTGAGGTAGCACACGTGTCGTTCAAAGACGGTAGAATAACGCACTCGTTGATGTGTTCCATGAACACACCACTAACTTTTCTTTCTTTTTATTTTTATTTATTAATCAAACTATCAAATCACTCATGATACCACCCAATAATTACAATAAAAACTAATATAAAAATACCAACATGCTCCTAAAGTCAAGCTCGTGACCTTGTTTATTTCAATGGCAATAAAGTGTACGTGTTAAAAAGAAATTTTAAATAAGAATTTAAACCAAAGTTTTTTATTTTATTTATTTTTAAGAGTAGCCAAGTGATTCATTGTGCAACAAATTATGGAAGGACTGAGGTGCCCCAAACAATTATAAAATGATATGTAAAACCAGCAAACAAAACTATTTTACCGCTAAAAAAGAATATTGTGTGATTTTTTTAAGAACAAATCAGTTAATTCACTGTTGTAATCTACATTGAATCATGGCTAATATACATGGTTTCTCCACACGGTTTCGGTTTTGTAATACCGTAACCGAGTTTAAGCCCATTAATATTTAAATCAATCACCCTTAAACCCCTTGTAAGCACAATAGAACCTTAGCAAAACCCCTGGAATCGTAATCACACCCCGACCTGAAGAACCATCTCCCCCTCTGAAATGGCTGCTCTGTCAAAAACATTGTACCCTTACTAGACTTCATCGTCATCTACAAATCAAGCAAGCTTCCCTTCATCAGTCCCAAAAATCATCTCTCCTTTGATTCCATGGCTCAGCTCAATCTCCACCCTTCATCTGTGACATCTAATCCCAAACCCCACTCTAATTCCCAGGGTTTAGCTGACTGTTCCATGAGTATTTAGAAATGCCGTAATAATTATTTTTAACTTTTTTAAAAATATATTAAAATAATATTTTTTTATTTCTTAAAATTATTTTTTAGCATGAACACATTAAAATAATTTTAAAATATTAATTTAAAATAAATAAATAAAATAAAATAAAATTTTAACTTTTTTTTAAATACTTCTAAAGTAGAAAGAGAGCTCAAATTCATGCTAATAGGACAAGGGAGTGTTTGTTGACCTGACGACGGGCCTTGTTCAGGGTGGGTGTACGGTCCAGGAGTTTTTGCTGGACTCCTTTTGTTGCAGCTAATTTCATTTGGGATAATTACACCCATAGTCCCTCTCTGATGAGAGTTCAATTAATTAGGTGCTTCAACTATTATTCTTTCTAAGTCGATCCCTCTATTATTCATTGTGCCTACTACTAGAACCCTCACTACTCCATCACAGCATGCATCTACTACATTAATGATTTGTTGTCACACGATACGTGCACATTTAAGATAAAAAAAAAAGAAGACTAGAAATTAAAATATTTTCTTGTAATTTATTGAATTTAATGGATACAAAATAAGAAGATTATTTCAAAATTATTGATTTATTTAATTTAAATATTTAATGACCACAAAATGAGAAAATCTTTTCAAAATTATGGAACAGTATGAGAAAAAAAGGTCAATTTTATTCCTTCTAGCATTTTTTTCTATTTACCCCATGCTTATAACTTCCATTCGAAGCCATGCCTGTTAATGGTCCTGTGCTAATGGTTCTATGTTTTATTAACTTCATCGGTAGAAGTGCTCTAGTTTTTGAGTGAACGATGGCATGCTATGCTATTTAAGGAAATTCTATTTATATCTCTACAAAAATGTAATTTTTATTCAAACAAGCAACTTACATCTCGATGACATTGCATCGACAGCATACATCCTGAGATTTCCGGAAGAATCTTCGTCTTCAATTAAATCTAAAACCTGCTAATTAAAGGGAGCCGACTCGATCATCCCCTTCCAAATTGTAATATACAGTTTTATAAGACCTGTATCGATGGTCTATTCAAGTGATTCACCGGTCCAAAACCAAGGTACAGTGCTGATTGCATGGAAAAATCCGAAGTTTTTTTCGCCACTTCAAAACAACGTAGTTTTGAGAGTTCAAAAATAAAATTTGGGATGAACCGAATCGACCTGAACCTAAACTTTAGTGCTAATCAATTCTGGATCGGGTTTTATAATTGTGATTTATCCGATCCAAGTCTGATGCCCCGCGGGCCTGCTGATGATATGGTTGCCGGTCCCGCTTCTCCTTTTGGTTGATGATTTCCCGAAACTAAACCCGTGTCCTGAAATTAACAGCAAGCCAATTAATACTCGTTCAAGAAACTTTCTTCACCTGTGTGCATGAATATATATAATTTCCAGATCGAAAACCTGTATGCAGTTAGCTAGTGTGCTACGAGATGAATATATATAATTTCCAGATCGAAAACTTGTATGCAGTTAGCTAGTGTGCTATGAGATATCTGTTAGGTTGGTTGCCATTAATGTGCAACAAAAATATGTGTGAATTACCAAGCCCTCCATGACATGAGGTCTCCTTAGCAATATCCTCCATTTTATCTCCCAAGGAATTTGACATGCTTTCCATGCTCTCCTTCGCATAGGAGGCAGCCTGGTTCAATTTTATCTCCCAAGGAATTTGACATGCTCTCCTTCGCTTAGGAGGCAGCCTGGTTTATGTGATCGGAGATGGTTTCTCCTTGGTCCTCTGTACTCAACAAAGTGCGGAATGTTGATAGAAGCAGCACCAATGAAAGTACTAGAACAAATGCTGTCTTCGCCATTTTCTTTTCTTCTCTAACAACTGATAAATGTAAACTTTTGGAACAATTGTAGTTTCGTTTAGTTATTTATAGTGTTCTGGGGACATATCGTGGCCTTAATCATTACCATCAGAAAATATTTTTCCCAAGTGCGTCCATGTCTTACAAATTTAAGATATTTATGCTTCATTTTCTTTCGTTAGTGGGTTTTAATTTGTCCTGTAATTGTAGTTCATAAAAAGTTGAGATTAAATTTGACCTTCCTAAAACGAAAACAAAAACTGTCCTACCAGTGAATTGGATTGAAACAAGGCAGATGTTGCTTTACTTGGGTGCCTCCAGATCAAGGCAACTAGGCAAACAGGGATCGTACAAATTCAAAACTTTTTGGAGTTGAGTTAAATGATCTGCAGAAAAGCTGGATGTCTAATTTCATTGTTGCTACATTAAAGTAATATAGATAACGATCTCGTTTATAAATGGTAAGTCTTTTTATTATTTGATTCGTGCTGTAAGAGTATGCATAGCACACTATCAAATAATAGATGAGTTCAGCTGATGCATTTACGAAGGAAAAAAAGAGGTTATTTTCAGCACTCTTTTAATAAAACAAACATGATGTTAGTGCTTTGTAACTCTATTGTTGATTGGGAAGGAGCAAACATATATATATAGAACACACGATTTTTTTATATAATTAACAGTGGAAAACACCATTAGAATAGATACATCATACACACCAGCTTAAAAAGTGTGAATCGCACATGGCTTGTCATGTTGCGTTCATTATTACTACAGTAATTAACGATAGACAGAACTAAGCCAGCAGCTAGATTCACCTTTTCTTTTTTTTAATACTTGTCTTGCATGCATGTTGTTTCTACAGATCTGGACTCTGTGGTGCTTCACTTCATTGCAGCTTTAAGTTCCTCGTAAGCCTGTCCAAAAAAAAATAAAACGAGCAGCATTACTGATGTCTGATTATTTTTAATTCCCTATTTAGACTGCTTAATTTTAATTAATCAACCGCTGCAGGTTCTTAACAATCACATTACCCTTGAAATTATAATTTTTACAGTACACGGGGGTCTTGTTATATTTATTTTTTATAGCAGATAGCCGATTTTGGCCACATTGGCAACTGCATGAAATTTTTGGTTCTAGCTGGACACAACAACCCGTGTCATGAGCAGGGTCTGGGGATTAACGAGTTGAGTCACGGAGGAAAGTGAGATTTGATTAAAAAAACTTGTGTTTTCTTGTGTAACAAAATAATAATTTATTATCAGAATTAGAAGCACCAGCTAATTTTTTATAATAATTTATGCCCAGTTCCAAATCATAGGACCCTGTGCGTGTGATCTAAAACAAGAAGGATTAGATTTCATGCGGCCCTTTTTTCCCCTTAGGAAGTTGAATAGATGATGGATAGCCATAGCTAGCCTATATACATATATATTAATATAAAAGGACTATATATCGGGGGTACAAGGGTCGGTGTTGTGTTTTCCCTAACGCTACTGGAAAAGAGGAAGGCAAGTACATAATGAAAATATAATACATGATGCTTGGCCAGCATACGTACCCTCAAAATCAGCAGTTAATGAAAGTTGGGACGTTTGTTGCTACATTATACACAATCCAAGGAAGTTTTGCCGGGGTGATTTGAAATCAGAAAAAAAAAAAAAAAAGATGTCTTCTTTTCTCTATATACAGTGGGCAGCTGGCCATAATCGTGCAAGGTAAAGAGAAAAGGTGGACAATAGAGACTATTTTATCTTGAGAGCGGAGAGTCCATAGCACGCATACATACAATAATAATATTGCAAATTTAGCGGCAATAATGGGCAGGGCAGGAATGTAATGCCTGAAGAGATTTTAAGATTTAGAGCTTAGTTTGTGCCTGCTCATGCCCTTTCAACTTCGACGGATAGTCAATGACAATGTGAATATTCATCTCTTGAACATGTGTAAGATGCATGATATTGTGGTACGTAGTCACCAAAAAGTGTTCACTAAGATGGGAATTAGACGAGAATAAAAGAGTATTGCATGCAAGGATATTGAAGATAAATTGAGAAGATTAATTTTCATGTAGTTTTTATCCAGTAAATAATGAGTATATATATATATATATGGTTGCCATAAACGTTCATTACCTCTGCTCTTCAACAAGTCCTCTACCACTGCTGCCAGTGGGCTTGTAATTTGGCAGAGGGACTTGCCCGGATTCTATGTACACGAGATCTTCCACGAGACGATCATAGTGCCTCTTAACTTCTTCAGCAGACTTGCTACCCACGGCCTTGGCCACATTTTGCCAGCGGTCTGGGGTGTCTTTGTCATAAACAGCCAGGGCCTTCTCAAATAGCTTATTTTGTTTTGCTGTCCAAGAGGAGCCGAAGCCATTTGAAGATGTGAAATAAGACATTTCCCCTTTGCGGAAAGGTGTAATGGTAAGTGAGTAGTGGAGGAGGTGGCTTTATCAACTGAAGGGGGGGGATAAGGTGGACGGTGGTTAGAAAGGAATGCGCGTTGAGTGTTAAGTCGAGAGTCTCCAAAAGTAAAAAAAAGACACTGAAAGGAAAGAAACTTTGAGAGAAAAAGAGAGTGAAGATCACCACTGCCTCAGTCAAAGGAGAAGACTGAAGTCCAGAGATGGTATGGACAAGAGATTTCCATGCTTGCTCCTTATAAGCAGGAGAAAATGGTGGGGTTGTGCAAGTTGGCGAATATATGTTTTCGATCCTCACGGGGGTGTAACAAGATGTGATTCTCCTACTTAAGCAAAGGTAAAGAGGAAGAAATGAAAGGAGAATCAGTGTCAAGTTTATCAAGTCTTTTTCTTTCTCTTTTATAATATCATCAGCAAGTGGATTTCGTCGAGAATTTTTACCAGCTGAGTGGGGATTAGATCCCAATCTTGAGTCTACTCATTAACATATTATAGATTCGCTTACAACATGAGCCTCCATTCCACCTTTTCTACAGACCTCCATCGAACACACAGTAAGCAGATGTTCTGCCCTACCTTTTTAGTGGTCGGATTTTCTTTCCTTGCTTGTTAATTTGAGCAACTTGTCACGATTATACCCTTTTTTAGTAATTGTTTATTGACTACTCTTTTCTTCTTCCGATTCTGATCTTGCAAATATTTCTTACAATATTGGAAATACCAAAAAGATAAAAAGAGAAGGCGAATAAAGCATTATTCATTTCCTAGTCTTACATAGCACTGCTAGCACAAAACATTTGTATAACTAAGTATCGTTTTACTTTTACATATCACAAGATTTTGCTTTTTAAAATATTTTCTATTTTTTAATAATATTAATGTATCAATATTAAAAATAAAAAAACATATTTAAAAAAACATGTATTTTGTATATTCAATTAATTGAAAACCACCCTTCACTATACTAACAAACAAGCACAAGCTAAACTTGACTAAACATAATTTAATATTTAATTATCTTAGAAAATAAAGTTAATTGTATGTGTGTGTATAGTTTTGGAATTCAAATAGAAAACCTCAAGATAGAATAAGTCTTCGGTTTATTATTTTACACTACCAAAATTTTATAAGTTATTGATGGAATATTATGTTGATAGTTAAGAATTTATTTTGTCGGCAAGATTTTTATTGGCAGGTTCATAGGTTAAAAAAACTTTCTTCGATGATTTTTATTTTATTTATAATTTTATTGGCAAAATAATTATTAAAATATTTCAAATAAAACAAGGACGCCACACAAAAAAAATATACTCTTTTTATTTTATTGGTATTTCTCTTGATAAATATAATGTATCATCAATAAAAATACATTAATAAATATAATATATCACTGATAAAAAAATACAATTTATAACTTCATTGGTTATTTTTTAAATATTATTAACATAATTAAATTGTCTTAAACAGTAATAAAATTGTCTATATAATTAAACAATAATAAATGATATTTTCCGTAATTATTTTTTAATTCAGTAACATGAAGGTAGGTATATTTTTTTAAAAAAAAATCTAATAAACCGAGCAGTGTAGTTATTATCGGGAAGTTTGTCTTAGAATCCGGTACGTCACTGATGTTGGAACTTGAAAAAGATATGTTATCACCTTCTGCTTCTGCCTTCTGAGCAACATTCCAAAGGTTTCTTGCCAGGTTGTTTGCTAAGGCGTGCGGTGATGGTATTTACTTGTGTCGATGAATCAGCAGAATCACTAGGTGTTGCACTTCGGGAAGATACAGTGTCAGAAAACTAGAGTTTAGTAGGGAGTGGTAAATATGTTTTTACTGTTCTTTGGCAGCCAGACGCTCTCCATACAGCAAGACAAGCGTGTTTGCCACGAGCTAGTGTCCTTAGTTGTGGTCCCGTGTTAATGGCTGTTAACCATAAGGTGGCCTTGTCCTAAGTTTCAAGGCCATTTTGTGGATCGAATAACGACACGAGCCACGATGGCCTGTTCTTGATACTCTACTTGGTATTGGGATGGTGTGTCAGCGTCAGGTTATCGATCCAGTGGACCTGTTGGACCTTTGTGTTGTTGGGTTCGGAAAACGACTTCGTTGCTCGAGTTAATGATTTGCTCCACGCATGGATTCTTTTGCATTTTGTTTAGCTAATCTATTACAAATCAGATCCTCAATGTATTCAAGAATCCTCAATAGGAGCTTGTTCTCAGCAAATGTGCCTAAGCTTTTTTCTCAGTTGGGCTTTTTTCTTACTGGAATTATCAAATTGAGGACTCTTGGATGCTGCACTAGTGTCCCGACTGATACATACTATAGGTTTGGGACATAAGCGAGAAGAAGATTATAAATCGGGGACTAATCTGGCTTTATCCCTTAAAATTTGAAGGTGATTTGTTTATCGATCAACAGCCCATTTCCAAGTTAAATTTAAATGGCTCGTCTGCTACGTTTGTAAACACAACACGAGCCCAAAATCAAAAGCATGAAAATGATTATTTTAATTTGAAAATACGGGTGCTGATGCAACAAGGTAAGTTCGAGAGGGAATATGCTAGGAGTTAGTGTAGGGTTAGACATGTATGGGAGCTAGCTCTCACTCAAATGCTGAGGAAGGGCCCGAATAAATAAATAGAGCCGGGTGGCCAGGTAAATGCGCAGGGAATCTCTATAAAATACACCACAATATCTTAGAATCCTTATCATGCTCTCGCAAGTCCACCTCAGTGAAAGCTACAACAATGGGTTCCTTCTCTTTTTCCCTGGTGGAGTCCATTTCCCTGTGTTTCGCAGCCCTTTTCCCATGATTGGAGCATTCATCTATTTACCTTACCCGCGATAAAACATTTGGGTCCCGTGGTCTCTTTAGTTTTATGTTTTATAATAATATAAATTATATTTTTAAAATTTATTGAATAGTTTAAATTTTTAAATTAAAATAGTTATTTAATATAATATTAATATCTTCATGAATAAATGATTATGAATTAAAATCTCATTATTTTTTTTATTTATTTAATAATAATTAAGTTTAAAATAATATAAAAACATGTAAGTTTTAAATTTAAAATAATTTTATTTAAAAAAATATATTATAAAATAATATAAATTATATCTAGATAAATTAAAATTTTTAATTAAACTGATTATTTTACATTCTAAGCTTGGAATTGCAAAAGGTTGGAATAGCACAGCCCCCCTCCTCCTCTCTGAGTTTACGGTCCACGCATGATCTGGTTGTAAAAGCAGGGGGGCCACCATCGAGGGAATCTTTGAAAAATGGGGAAATATTTTCTTGAGAGAGATTTTTTTATCATTGAATCTACTTCGATAAAGCAGTGAAAAGATGTCTTCCCGATGGAATGTTCGGAAAGATAAGAGGTAGGTGCTTGAGGTTCATGTAACGACCAATGGGATCAATCGAGGGCTCAATCTTGTGCTTGAGGATGATATATTATTCTCTTTTCTCAATTAGCACGCTGGACATGAATTAAAATCAAAAGCAAGCATTCAGCTGATGACCTTGCTCTGATTTTATTCCGAGATAACAGATATGCTGCTGCACTTTATCTGAAAGAGGGAAGCACAGAGCAAGTTAGCCTAGTGTTCAAAGGCAGGAGCATATTTTTACTGCTTGATTCATCCTGCTACAACATATGAAAGCAATGGAGTAGTTTCTCTCCCTCCTCTCTCTCACCAACCTCTCTGTTTGCCATCCCAGAAAAATAATGTTGAAATTTCTTTTTTGGAAACTCAAATCCCAACTACTTTCTATTTTTGGCGTTGCTTCATAATCACTGTAACTATAAAAAGAATAATATGTTATATACTGAGAATTTACCTAGCTTGGGTAGCTACAAATTTTAGGGATGTGATTGGTTAAATTCGAGTTTGGGCTCTTTTGAAAAAAAAAACATTTCTAATCTTGTCTCTTAGAATATTTCCTCACGACTTAAATTTTTAAATTAAAATAATTATTTAATATGATATTAAAATTTTAATTAATATGTTTTTGCAAATTTCAACTTTGATTTTTGCTTAGAAAAATCTATTATAAAATAATATAAATTATATTTTAATATTTAATATGTTTTTTACAGTAATTTCAATACCTCTAATGTGTACTAAACTCACATACTATTATTCCACGTATCAAATAAATATAAATAAAATAATTTGGTGTTTAAGGATTCAAATATATCAATTATTTCTTTTTTATCATGAATTGAAAGTAATCAAAATATTAAATATATAAAAAAAATTATTTCATACAATTTTTCTCGAGTGCAATTTCTTCCTATATCTCTAAAAAATTCCTGAGATAATTATCTTTATTAAAATCAAGTGCTTGTTTAACAACTGAAATATATGATAAATTTTTTGGCGACTGTAAATTTAACAAGGCTGGATTTATGAGTGGGCTAAGCTACAGTTTGTGGGCCCATTCACTGTTCTAGCTTGATCTTTATTTCCTGGACCTGTCCAGTTTAGATTGGGCTCCATTCAGGGCTTTTCCCTCAAACTGAAAAAATGAAAGGAATTAACAGGGTTTCCCTTCTTCGGCCCTGTCGTGTCTTTAAACTTTTTTAATAATTTTATATTGTTTTAATATCCTGAAATTAAAAATTAATTTTAAAAATAAAATATGTTATATTAATATATTTTTAAATAAAAAATATTTACAAAAACATCTATTATACTTCCAAGCAATCCCTTATGGGGTTAAAATTATGTTTTGTTTTAAAGTTTGAAAAGATTGTGTTTTTCATGTGGTTTAATTATCACTATGCTAGTTAAATATTTGTATTTTTTATAGTAAGTTTTTTTTAATGTATTTTTATGATTGAAAAAATATACCAAATCAAATGGCTTATGTATAATCATATAAACTAAGAGTTATGCATGCTAATAAATAAATAAATAATCATTAAATATATCTAAAAACAAAATTTTTAAAAAATAAGAAACAAATGTAAATTAAAGAATTTAATTTTAAAAAATAAAAAATTAAATTAAATTAATAAAATAAATAAAATATAAGGTTACACATATTAAAAATATCATCTAAAAATATATATTTTTTATTTTTAAAAACATAGTTTATTTATATAAAAAAATAAAAATAAAATCATAGATGAACTAGAAAAACCTCTATAAAAATTAAACATAAAATAAAAATATCAATATTATTTATAAGATGTTTTGAACTAAATAAAAAAAAGAAAGTATTGTTTTTTTTTAAAAAAAATTTAACTGATTACGTCACTTTATCTCCTTTTCAATTGCATTCTTTAAAGTTATATTTTCATAATAAACATGTCTGACTTAGATGGTTTGGATCCGAAAGTTGTGAGTATGGTAACCATGACACATTCAATGTATTGTCATGCTAGACCCAAACGCCATAAATTTGGCTACCATACCAGCAACAATTGATGCATTGCCTGTTTTACTCAATTTTCAATCATTATAGTGGGTGAAAAATCATGGCTTATATCTTTTGATCTGAAAACTTATTCATAGCCTTAAAAAATTGCTTCAAAACCAAATTTAGCTAGAAATCAAAAAATGAACCTGTGCTGAGATCTATTTTTTCATAAATTTAAGATACAAAATAATCTAATACGAACTCTTTGTATCAAATGGAATAATTTAATACAAAAATCTCTTATTTGTATGGCTTAAATAGGTGCCAACAATAAGTTTTTCTCTCTATCACCAAAATTCAGCAACCCCTCTCTTTCTTCTCTCTCAACTAGAAAGAAAAAAATAACAAAAATAAACATGTGTGTCAAAATAGAATTGAAATAATTTTGATGGACGACAATTGTATAATTTGTATGATTGTTTAAATTGGAATGCCAAAGTGAATGTTTTTGAAATTTATGGTACATCATCCATATTTGCTGTATTTTTCATTTCGATTCTCTATTTTTCAATCTCATTCTTTCATAAGAATTTAAAATTAATTACTTTTTATATAGGACTTAATTGTCCATAAACAAAGTTTCAGGATCAAACCGGAAAAAAACAAGTGATAAATACAAAATCAAAATCTAACGCATTTTGTTATATAAGTCATTGTTACGTGCGTTTCAGTTGCAGATATTAGAAGTTTATCTAGCCAATTTGACATCTCTGCTTTGGTTTCGTGGCAATTTTGCATCTGGGTTTTGAGTTTTGTACCTATATGCATACCGGAAGCATGAATTTGAAGCATTTAGTTAATAGGCAAGTAGTTGTCAACATGTCAAGATTTAATGGAAGAGTACGAAATCGTGGATATTTTTCTACCATCAGAGCTTCAATTCATCCCTCAAGCAGCAGCCGTGAATGCGTGCTTCTTTATAATGTTGGTAACTCGAAGTCCATATTGTTTTTTAAATAGATATATGCGCTCTAGTGGAGAAACAGAGTTAAGGAATCGAGTTTTAATCCGAAACCCAGTAGTAATGACTCTGAGGAAGAGGATGAACCCATGAATGAGTTCTTGACGCGGTTTGTGTGGACAATGTCGGGGTGATGGAAAAGGGTTGTCTTGAACATATGCTTAGTCCTGTGGTGGCTATTCAGTGGGGATTTGTGGAAAACGGAGCGGGAAGTGAGCAATGCCATGTTGAAGGATATGGAGAAGGAAAGGAAGGAGAAAATGACGGGTTTTTTGCAATACGAGGAGGTGCAGGAAATGCGTACGTTTTCTGGTGAGATTGGAATCCGAGGGGGCATGCTTGAGGGAGTTTAGGTTCAAATGGGCTTGCGATAAGATGGAAGAGAGTGGCTTTTACGAGAGATTGACCCGCGTCAAAGAAGAAGAGAAAGTCTGAGAAAAAGCTGCAGAAGAGGGCAGGAATTACATGACCATGGGTGAGGAGAAACCTAAGGTCGTGCTCTTCGTATGAGACATGGGAAGATGAAGCACAAGATTTATGGACTTGATCTTTCTGATCCTGAGAGGGCTGAAGTTGCTGATAGAATCCATGAGTCAGAAGAGCGTGATTGGCCCGTGGAACCCAAGCCAACATCTGGGAAATGCAAACTGGTTACCGGTTACCGAGAAAATTCTAGCACTAAAAGAGGATGACGACCCTTCACCACTGATAGTTTAATGGGTAGAGCTTCGACAGCTTAGCAGGATTGATTGGTTAACTTTGCTGGATAAGTTGAAAGAAGAGAGAACTGATTTATACCTTAAGGTACAGTGCTCATTAAATTTTTGCTGCTACCATTGTCAGTTTCACAACTAGTTCATTTACGACATTGTGTATGATTAACAAGATTAGTTGTCGATTTATCTATTCCATGTTTAACATGTTGGAGATTTCAAATGTCTAGAATAAATGGCATTGCATAAATTACTCAACACATTTTATTGACTGGTATTGCAGGTAGCTGAAATTTGTTGAACGAAAAATCTTTCCAGGCTAACATCTGTGACAACACCATGATTATCGATGCCAAGGCTAAAGAGAACCGCATAGAAGACGCTGAAAAAATTATTATGAAGATGAAAGAAAATGGTATTCTACCAGATATTTTGACCACCACTGTTTTGGTACAATGTACAGCAATGCAAGAAATTTTGACCGTGCCAGAGAAGCATTCGAAAGCTTGAGGAGCTATGGTTTCCAACCAGACACAAACATCTACAATTCAATGATCATGGCATATGTAAATGCTGGTCGACCTAAGCTGGGTGAATTATTGATGAGGGAGATGGAGGCAAGAGATATCAAGCCTACAAAGGATATCTACATGGCTTTTCTTCGGTCATTTTCGAAACATGGAGATGTTGGTGGAGCTGAGCGAACTGCCACGACAATGCAGTTCGCAGGATTCCAGCCGAGCTTGGAGTCTTGAGCATTGTTGAGGCATATGGGCATGCTGGTGATCCTGATCAGGCAAGGAATAGCAGACTATATGTTAAAGCTTGGCTTGCTACTTGCTACTTGCACTGTCCTTGTCGATTGGCTGGGGAGATTACAGCTGGTTGATGAGGTGGAGAAGCTATTGGATAGGATTTCTGTCCAGGATGAGGCTTCTTCTCTCAAGATTCAAGTTAGGCTTTGTGCTATGTATGCATGAGCTGGGGTCGAGAAGAAGGCTGTTCAAGCTCTGGGGGTTCTGGAAGCTAAGGAGGACTGGTGGCGCATGATTTCAGAGGGTTGTTGGTGGGCTTATTGCTGGTGGGTTTTTGCAGGAGGCTTGAAGGGTATATGGGTTGATGGAGGCCCAGAGCTTTGCTTCAGAGCATCTAAAGGTTGCTCTGGTGGCATCTCCAGCTTCGCAAGAGACCATCGTTATAGTTTGCGGTCTCGATTCTCGAGCTTTTGGCACGCTAGTCATAATCAAGAGGATATTTTGGCAGTCATATATGGAAGTCGAACACTACCTGACAAGCAGGATGGAGCGTCCTTTCAACCATATTCCATGAATTTTGCTTTTATTCATGTGCCCATGTTGGTGTTATTCAGGAAACCGAATCATGATAAAGTGGCCCTTTGTGATAATTAATTGAAAGAAGCAGGTTGCTTCATTTTGTATTAGCTAAACGTGTTGCTTTACATGAGCTATGATATTTCGCTGTCAGATGCTGGATTGCATTGCGCTCTTGCACACATTGTCCACACAAGACTGGAGGCATACCCATAGACATCTTCGTAACCAATGTTTTTCTTTGACTGATCTTACGAGTTGAGGTTATGCTCAGACAGCAATCCCACCATTCATGTCTGTCAGTTTCTGGATCCAAGTTTTTCTTTTCTTCTATGTGAGATTTAAAGAGATCTTGATGCGAGTAGATTCTGAAGACATGTTATCCATACAAGCAGGAAGCTTTCATACATTGATATTGTTAGATTCTATTAGAATTCTCCTTTAATGAACTCGTTCAGCCGCTTCAATTCTCTACCCTGCTGCTCCACCACAGCTCGAACCACATCTACCATGGAAACCATCCCAGCCATCTTTCCATCTATGACAGGAACATGCCGAATGTGATTGTCTGAAATCATAATTTTAATTTCCTTTCATCACGACATCATCAAATTCAATAAAAACTCTAATTTATATTACATGTAATCGAAAAACATGAATTCTTCGCATCATAAATACCTGTCATCAGCTTCATTGCTTGTAGAATGTTTGTGTCAGATGCCACAGTTATTAACTTGTTCTGCCAAGCATTGAAATTAAAACATCTATAGATAGGAGAATTGTGACTCTATGGCCCCCATACAAAAGTAGTTCAAGAAATAACCTCATCTGTCATAATTTCCCCAACTCTTGTGTATTTAGATGATCTCCCTTGTGCTATTATCTTCCTCAGATAGTCTGCTCAAGCATCCGTTCCACCACCATTAACAGAAATTAGATTAATGTCTACTTCATCATATTGTGTAGTTCAGTAAAAAAAAAATTTTAGTTTCCAATGTTATTTTGAAAATCTTGGCAGTCCAAACATTACCTATACCATCGAAGTCAATTTAAAGTTTTTTTTCTCCCGAAGAATTAGAATTAGAGATAACTAGTTTACAGACCCACGAGGAGGATAATTCTTTTTTGTAACATAACAAAAAAAATATTTAGGTTATATAACTATTTTATATTGTTACTATTTTATATTTATTAAACTTTTTATAGCAAGCTAATCTTGATATTTTTTAATATAATTAAATAATATAAAAGTTAAATTACCCAATCGACTTATTAAATTTAAAAACAACTAAACTAAGAAATAAAAAAAATTAAGAATAAAATTAATAAAAAATAATGAAATTAATAAGGAGAAAATCTCTCCACCTGAGTCTTTGTATAAATGAGGTTTAAAGTTACACCAGGTGGGAGTTGTATCCAGATGATTATTTAAAAAAAAAAAACCTTCACTGTTCATCAAGTAAAGTTCTGTAATGTTTACCAAGTCTTTTAAATGTCAAGTTTATTTCTCGTTGTTGTCTTTCATTACAGCAAGGATAGAGGATGAATGCCTGACTGACAGTGTAATTCGATCAATGTAAAGTAGGGTTATTCAGAAATCAGGTACCTCTCTCTGTGATAATTCCTGCGATAAGCTCTCGTTCTCCTAAGACTACCAGTGACCCAATATTATTCTGCGCCATCTGCAAAATTACATCTTAGATTCTTAGCAGTAATGTTTTTGCTCTATACAGAGAAACTTCATTCTTCAGGAGAACTGTTTCAGCCTTATTTCATTATAACCTACATTCTTCACAGCATCATAAACGGTGTCAGTGGTGCGGCACCAGAGCCAAGAGCCAACCTTTTCTTCTCCCTTTGTCACCAGTACATCTGCCACTGTTAAATTCTCTAGTCCTTTCTCTCCCACTGGAGGAGAGGAGGTCACACATCCAGAATGTGATAATATCTTTCTCCTCTCATTTATGTCTCTTACATGAGGATGCCTTAGAATTGCCACTCTGAGGGTATCCTGGCAAGATCTTACTCCCTGGACAAGTCCTTGCATTTCAACACTGTTTGCTGAAAAATGAAAGTTCAAAGTACTGTCCACTGCAAGAATGTAGCGGACAGGATTTGTGATTGCCTATATGAAGGTTTGAAATAAAATTTGTTAAACTAAACTAAAATGAGAATTATCTTACCTATGAGGAACGATTAGGCGATCTTGTAACTGTGAAGTTATGAGATGGATGCAACCCATAAATAGCATTTTTCAAGGAGAAGACAGAAGCATGTCTACCTTGCAAAGTTCTTTTCTTGAATGATAGGATGAAGGAAGAAAGAGTATTTGTCCGGTCTCTTTTCTTGTTTTGTAGGTTGCTTCTCTGGTAGGCATGGTACAACGGTAGTATTGGCTGCTAGCAAACCAAGAGGTTGCATGCATTGCTTAAACCTTTTTGCCATGCTGAATTACGTGTTACGACAAAATAGTCATAGTTGCAGTATTGGTATCTTTATCGTAGAGTCAAGGAATTTCTGTTTCTTTAACTCTAAATTAAAACTGAAATTGATCACCGGAAATCTTTAGTCTGAGATAACACGTGTATCATGTGGATGAGTTGTAGCTATGCCCTCCAAACAGAGATTTTGCCAAGCATATACTTGGAATGCCTTCAGGAGAAAAGTACCCTGGTTTCTCAGCGAAGGAGACAACACAATGACAACTTAAAAGCTTAATGTAGAACGAGAGAGAAATACAAAACTTGAAGATGACAAATTGAGATGCTAGACCTGAGAGAGAAGGAAGATCTGTCTAAAGAACCCCGAATTTCTCTCGTGTAAAGGCTAGCCTTTAGAGAGTGAAGGAGGCAAAAGGAGAGTGAATTTGAAGACGGAAACAGAAAGGTCTCTAAACCTTTCCAAGGTATCAAATAAAAACTTATTAATATTAATACCGCATTTTTCTACAAGAATTAAGCATCAACGCAGCCAACCTACATCTATATCCTTCGTTATACTTTTCATTTTCTTTAATCAAATCATCTATGGCAGACCGGAGGCCATTCCGCTTTCGGCTCCCTTGGTTATCAGCACCTGTTGCTCCCGCTCTACGTCCTACAGCTGAACCCCAACCTCCTCGTCCTAGAGTTGAAATTCAAGCACCAGCACGGCCAATCACCACCATCCCCATTCAACGGCCACCTTTCCGACCTGCTGGGATAACCCCAGCAACGACTCCTACTACTCAGACTACAGCACAGGAACAAACGGAACCTCAGCCAGTGCCACCACATCGTGCAGCCATTGAGTCCCAAGTCAATTCCCAACAAGTATCACAATCTCCAGAAACACGGGCTGCCTCTGTGCCACCATCACCATCTCGTGAAACTCCACAATCAAGAGCTGCATCTGTGCCCCCATCACCCTCTCGTGCGAAAACTCAATCCCCAGCCGCCTCTCAAACCCAGTCACCATCTCGAGCAACTCCACAATCAAGAGCTGCATCTGTGGCTCCTTCTCCTTCTCGCACCACTTCCCAGCCCCAATCAGCAGCAGCAGTGACGGTCCCCCAAACTCAATCCCCGTCTCGTTTGGCCACTCAAGTTCCAGGTAGAAAATCTCCACAGCTCTCTTCTCCATCTAAGACAGCTACCGAAGTGCAGCCAACAGTTTCTCAGTCCCCATCAAAGAAATTACAACTAGCAACACAAGAGATCTCTCAGCCTCCTCCCAAGTCTACTCAATCCGACACTCAACAGGAAGAAACAAAACCAACACCTGCAGCAGAGCCTGTACAAGCATCAGATGCTGTCACAGCAACACCAACACCAACTCCTGAGCCAGCACTTGAGACGCCTGCATCATTACAAAAATCAGATTCCAGGACCATAGGTGCTGATCATCCTATGCCTATTTCACAACCAGTGAAAAGAGTAAAGGAAGATATTTTTGAAAGAAAGAAGACAACGACCGCTAGCCCTAATGGGGAAACTATCAAAACAGCAAGAAGCCGGTATGCTTTCCGCGAATCTCATCAAAAAACATCCATGTCCAACGGAGAAAAAGTTCTCCTGCAAAAAGAAATCAGGGAAGATATTTCCAAGTTTGTTCATAAGCTGGGAATGGAGCACATTAAGCATCCCATGGGAGAAAAGCCTGTCAGCGTTGTTACTCTAGCAGGAGAAAACAGAGGAGCTACCATGTATGTGGGCTCTGAATCATCAAGAAAGGATGGATCAGTCCACATTCATCGTGGTTATAAGATCAATCCAGATGAGAGCAGCGAAGCTACTACTGATGGAGAAGGAAGCTCGAGGGGTAGAAGCTCCAAAGGTCTGCTGACAAAAGAAGGTCCGGCAAGGAAGGCATATATTAACAGTAACACACAAAGTGTCAACAACTCGATATTGTTTGAAACTTCAGTAAGCGAAAGAAGCCCTGGTGTACAGCTGAGTCTCTCTTATAAGGATGAAGAACCCAGCAAGAACAGCAGTAAACCAGTGCCTCTGGAGACTCGCAAGGCTGAATTCCAAGTCACCCCTGCTGAGAAGCTTAGTTATGAGCCGAGGGTAAGAAGACGATGCCTAAGAGGGCTTTTCTTGGAATCAAGCGACTCCGACCCTGATAATCCAGAAAAGCCTCGAAGACATGGCTGTCGCTATCGTTGTGGGCAGAAGACAAAAGATAAGGACATAGGGTTTCTCTGACCTGGTAAACGATGGCTTCGATACGATTATCTACCAACAAAAACATGCAATATGTACATGACAATGACGATATTTTACTAAAGTGATAATAAGGATGCAAGATCATCTAGAAAGTAATGTTTATGTATGATACTTTTGCATCATATGTTAATGAAATGTTTCGTTAACTGTAATTAGCAACTTAACATCAAGATTCAGTATACAAACTCTCCAATATACAAAGAAAAAAATTTAGAAGTTTGTAGAATATGTGAAATAAAATTCCATAAGTGAAGTTACAAACTTGAGGTGCTGCAGAACTACCTTTCTGCAGATAAACAAATGTTGCAACTTACATAGAGACCACGATGGCCGCTGCTGTTTACATAAAATTAATGCTGATGATAAAGTGCAAATCCTAGATGCTTCTTTTAAAGGGAATATATACAACAAAATTTTCAGGGAAGGATAATGTGAATATGACACAAAATGGCAAAAGAAAATGATCATTCACAAGCTGGTTTAGTGTCAAAGCTACTCAAGCAGATTGCAAAAGCTTGGAAGGCAGAGAGGGGGTATCGATAGTCCATGGTGAAGATATCTTTCCCAATCTTTCCAAACTGCAGAATGACTTTTTCTTGCTCTTCTACTGGAACATTTTGGCAAGGCTCCACAGCTGCCACCAGCTGGAAATTCTTCACAGAGGCCACTGTAACACGCCCTTTGAAATTTAGACACCAACACTGCAACTGCTCATGCCATCTAGGAGCTTTATTTTTCAAAATCAGTGGATCATTTTTGCTGCAAAGTGATTCAGATGACTCAGCAAGGCTATTCGAGCTGAAATCAATAGGTGGTTGCTTTAGCTTTGAAGCAGACAATGGAGAAGATTGCTCCTTGCTAGGATTATTGAATTCCGATGGAGTAGGAGCTATTCCCCCTTCTTGAATAGCAGAAATAGGGATCGAGTGAATGGTGCAATGCATTCTCCTTGGACCTCTGGTACGAAGGACATTAAGCTCATAAGAAACGGTGGCCACATTATAATTTCTAGCAGCAACCCCTGGAGACACTTGGATGGAACGAACTTTACGCTGCGGCTTACAATTGGATTTCATTGCAGGACATGGAGTCTGACTGTCGTAAATGGTGAATTTGGTTCCCAAGAAATTAGACCTGTTCAGAATTTCCCAATCAATTCCACAAAAGAAGAATGAGGTGGTGCAAAGACAAGAAAACCAAAAGGATAAGCCATACCTCAGTTTTCCAACATAGGTATTGCTGGTTTGACAGAAATCACTTCCAGCAAATGATATCCGAAAATCTGTGCTTGTAGCCTTCCTAATCTTCTTTGCTGCTAATAACACTTTATTCATATCACCAGACAAAGCTGTAATTCGATAAGTGACATCAAATTAGCAGTAAAAAAAACACATAGTTTAGCTTACTAAGATTAAAAACACACCATCACGGTAGAAAATTTCAAAACTTTTTTTTTCACGGCTGACTGTGTAGTGAATCAAATAACTCAAAAAATAGACCCATTGCAATACCAAGCTTTCCATTCAAAAATTCAAAAAAAAAACCATTAAATTAACACAAGAAAGCACAGAGTATTTTACCAGGACTGAGACCCAGATACAAAAGATAAGTAGAAGTGGCCCTTTCCCTCTTAATAAAGCATTGAATTGGAGCATCTCTCGGCCCCGGCTGATCGACAAACAAAAAAGAACCCCCAAAATAACATTAACACCTAACAGTTCACAGAAATACGAAACAAAAAAATTAAAAAGAGGGTTCTCTTTTTTGAAGTCACCTGCTTTAGTGAGATAGGAAAAGTAATGCAACCACACTGTTCTGGGGTCTTAACAACAGCTTTAGTAATCTCTCTCCAAGACGTACAAACTGAAGCGCAAGCAACAACATCTCTTCTTCCAGGCCATGAAGTTTCACTGCCTTCAACTCTCTGAATCACATCATGTAGCAATTCAGGCGGCAAATTAGCCCACGGACTCTGTTCTTCAATCAACTCGCTGAACAACTCAGACCCACCTCCTAATTCAGGCGCAATATAAGCTCTCCCTCTTCGATTTGTTCTGCTCCTCTGTAACTTTCCCATCGAAAATGTGGTAGAAATGTCATCTCTAATCTCCTTTAACTTTCCCTTAAATGACATCTTGATCACGCCCGAGATCTGATTAGCGATTTCGGTTTGGAATTAAAAGAAAGTGAGACAGGCAAATTCATGCATGTGGTTATAGACAGTTAGACAAAGTCATAGGAAATGACGAAATTCTGAGGAGTTGGAGATCGGGACGAGGAATCTAAGGGAAGTCTGCCTATGTCTTGGATAGAGCAAAAGCTGTCTTTATTTTCTTTTGTATACGTGGAGGAGTGACACGACGGAAGTTGTGAAGTTAGCCACCAGGACTTTGTATACGTGGAGGAGTGACACGACGGCAGTTGTGAAGTTAGCCACCAGGACCTGAGGCGGAGGAGCCTTTTTCTGAACAGACGGACTGGCACAGCCACACACTCACTCACTCTGCCTTTATTTTTCTCGGATCTCAGAATTCTAATCTTTCGGTCCTTTCTTTCCCTCTTATTATTGAATCGTTTTTTTATATAATCTTTTGTAGCTGCTTTTTTATTTTTATTTTTTGAGGTTTTGTCAGTTAATTTTATCGTGGAGTGTTTGTGTGTGATTTTCTTGGACGGGATACTAAATTCGTTCTGACGTGTTAGGTTTGTTTTGGGTATGTCGGCTTCCATGACACGGTCCTATTACACGTGGTAGTGATCAAGCGGTCTAATAATTGCCCACAAAATCACATGAATAATTATTTGTTTTTTCTTTTATTTACTATTCTTTTAAAATTATATTTTACTTAAAAATATTAAATTAGTATATTTTTTAAATTTTTTTATAGTGGTGATGCCTGATGTAAAAAATAAAAAAAATATTTTAATATAATTTTAAGTAAAAAAATCTTTATAAAATATATTTCACAACAATATTAAACACACACAATACAAATTGATAGTGGTGGATTAGTTGGTTTTTTTTATATATAAAGCGGTCATTTCTAAATTAATAAAAGTTTTGAAATAGATTTTGAATTTTATTTTTTAAATGTTAAAACTTGCAGAATGATTACAAGGCAAGAAAAATATCAATAAACGTTGATTGGACCAATATATGTGTCTAAAAAACTTATTTTTATATATCGATTTAAGGGGGAAGTTCATATACACAATCCAACAAAATTATATTATAATATTCAATTAATAAAATATGTTTTATTGTTTAATTAAATTACGTTAATCTCCGCATTGGAAACCCTAATTCCTTTATATTTGATAAATTAACAAGTGTCCTTTGTTCAACATCAAACGAATTATCACCAAGGTATGTTTTTGGAGTACATACACACACACACACACACGCCTCGTGATTCCTTTAAAATACTCGTGGGTTAATCAAAGAATATTATTGTTCTCTTGAAGAAATTCTTAATTCTTATTAAATATGTCTAAAAACACGGTGGAGGTTATATTTTAAAGTATTTTTTGTTTTGAAATATATTACAATAATGTTTTTTAATTAATTTTTTAAAATTTATTTTTAACATCAATACATTAAAACAATCTAATAACATAAAAAAATTAATTTTAAACCAAAAAAAATTCAATTTTTTGTGAAATGCTATTTGGGCTGGGTTCCTAAACGGCCAGCAGGCTGCGCTTGCTCTTTGACATTGTCTTGAAAATTGTGAAGTGAGTTTTCAAAAAAAAAATTATTTTTAATAACTCAATGCAAGGTGTTTTAAAAAATTATAATTTTTAAAATTTTAATATTAACATATTAAATAATTAAAAATTAATAAAAAATATTAATTTAATAAATTTTTAAATAAAAAATATTTTAAAAATAATCACAACTATAAAAACAACCACCACCATATCTGAAAAGACAATGACATCACAACTATAAAAACAACCATAAAAATAATCACAACTATAAAAACAACCGCCATCGTATCTCTGAAAAGACAATGACATTTGCTTGAAATACTATGATTACCTTCATGTTACTGTTTTCATTTTCGAGTAAATTAATGTTTTACTTGATATTGTGATTAAATTGTGTTTTAATTTTTTTTATTCTCTTAGCCTTAAATCAAGTTGTATTTTGATATTTTTGAATTGTTTTGATATGTTGGTGTTAAAATTTACTTATTTATACATACATACATACATACATATATATATATATATATTATTTTGATATATTAAGAAAAACATTTTGAAAATAAACAGATTTCACACTCTGTAACAGTGACCGGTGACTAAATTAATAGCAAGTGATATAGGCTAAGTACTTTATCAATTCTACGTATACATTTATTATAAACAATTCTATCTCGAGAGATGAGAATTTCTACTTTTTAGGGTATCTATTACGAGGTTGCGTTGGATGGAGAAGGATGAGCATTTTGCATGGCAAGCAAGATGATCCTTTTTTTTTTTAATATAAATCAAAGGGGTATGATCACCAAACCATTAAGAATGTTGTATTTAAAAGTGTAATAGTAATCATAATTTAAAATATTTTTTATTTAAAAATATATTAAAATAATATTTTTTATTTTTTAAAAATTATTTCGAATATTAATATATCAAAATGATTTAAAAAATTTTTTTTATTTTTTAAAAATTATTTTGAATGTTAATATATCAAAATGATCTATATTAAAATACAATATAAACCGTTTTCCTAAACACTCGCAAGAGTCTATATTAAAATACAATATAAACCGTTTTCCTAAACACTCGCAAGAGTCTATATTAAAATACAATATAAACCGTTTTCCTAAACACTCGCAAGAGTCTATATTAAAATACAATATAAACCGTTTTCCCAAACACTCGTAAGAGTCCATGCAACTTTTTTTTTTTCATTATATCTTATTATATAATAGATCTTTTCATCACATTCTTTATACCTATTATATTACTTTTGGCCCTTCCTGTTATTTAATCCCAGCTCCGCCCCTGATCACATTGGTCCTAGCTATCTGGGCCGTAGACAACTTTTATATATATATATATATATATTAGCTTTTTTGTTAGTTGAAAAGTTAATTGTAATTACTAGCTACTTTAAAGTTCAATATTTATTCTTCCTTTTGAGTTGTCACGTAAGGAAATATGCTTGATTATTCGCGACTTTTTTTAGGTGACGTTGGTTTAGGACATTAATTTGTTATCTAACTTTGTTCTGGTCGATTTTTCAAACCTAATTAGGTAAAATCAATTATTTTTTAAAATTAAAACAAATATTGTTTTAAATAAAGAATATATATAATTAAAAATGTAAAGTGATACGGTGACCCAATGATATAAATTATTTTTTAGATTAGCTAGACTGTATATCAAATCTAACAACTATGTAATATACTATATACTAATATACTCTAAAGAACAAGAGGAAAAGGGAATAAAAATGAGATGAATAAATTATATAGAATGTGAGATGTGTGTTTGCGTGATTTTTGTCATATCCTCTTGTATGCTTTCTAAATTTGTTAGTGTAGTTATTATTTATAAAATAAAATAAAAAAGGATTTACCAATATAGTCAAATTCGATAGAATTACTTGCGAGCGTAAATGTGCATAGTTGCATTGTTTTGGCATGCTTATAACAAAAGTCTTGCCTCGACTCCTGCAGCCATGGCTTGAATGTCAATTATGGCTTGTGTTTTCCTTTTCATTTGCTTTAGGACAAGTTTACGGCTTAGGTTGGACCATCACTTCATGCCTACTCGACAAAATCATGTTAACGTAGTGTATGGTCCAAAAATTAAACTAGAAATAAACATTTCCTCTCAAAGGATCCATATACTTCCACCTAAGCCACCAGCACCAGAACTGCTGCCCAGCTGGACCATGCATAGCAAGATCAAGATCACGATCGAACTTTTTTCTTTTTCTTTCTGTTGCGAGCTTGATCTTTGCTTCACAGGTGTGGGTATAAGGCGATAGCAGCAATAATACATGCATTTCCCTCTATTATTCCATTTCTTTCAAATGAAAAGATCTTCCACTAGGCATGAATCTTGACACGTGGAAACCCACTTGGGATGAGCTGAAATTGCAAGGAAAGTTAAATAATTTCACTGTGTTTTTCCCCGTAAAAAAAACTACAGCCTATCCGTGACAATGATGAACCTTTTGCATACATGAACGATTTTTATATAAAAATATTCGTGTGTTAAAAAATTATAGAAAGAAAATATCCTAGACTTTTAATTAAAAAAATAAAATGCACTGCATTATTAGGATTATAATACATAATAAGTAAATTAAAATAAAAAAAAAACTAAAATGGAAGAGTGGTGAATCATTTTCACTATAAATTATAATAACGAAGTGATTATTTTACTTTTATCGACAAAAACACTTTGCATAGCAGATAATACAACCTTTCCATATTTTTTTCGAGATAAAATAATTAAATTATACTTAAAAACAATAGGTATTAAACTAATATCTAGGGGTTGTTTTGGCTAGCATGTTTCTAATATGATACCAACAATGTTTTTTTTCTTCTTAATTCCTACATTTGTCATTCCATTTTTTTTATATTAGTCTTTTAAATTTATTTATTTTCTAGATTTGATTAGCATTATTTTGATTATTATTTATTTTATTTAAAATTATTAATAAAATTAGAATTTATTCATAATTACATCCTCTTTTATTTTTTTATTTGTTATATTTGATTTTATTTTTTTATTGCTATTTATCTTGTTTAATATATTATTTAAAATTAATTTTTTATAATTTCATCCATCTCCATTCTATTTTTTTATCAAATTTTATCCTGTTCTTTTTTTTTTTCGCACGTCTCATAATTTTATATATTTTTTTAATATCAACGTCCCCAAGCATCTGTGTTTTGCATTAAAAAAAAAATACTTGACCAGCCTCGAGGTGGAAACCACGGGACACGGGACACGGGTCACCAGTCTAGTTTATATCGTAACTGTAGGTGAGGTTAACCACTTAACCTTGTTTAGGTGAACTATTGATCCTGACCCATGTGAGGTGGGGACCCACAGGCGAGTCCTTGTCAGAAAGGTTACCAGCAAGAGTCACGTACACGTGCAAACCACGCCAGTCTAATGATTTTCCCTGGTCAATTAGGCCCCCAGACAGAGAAATCTAGTCGCACTACAGTGAATGCACGGTGGGATAAGGAAAATTTTTCAACGACTTTATTTTTTTTTAATCCTGGTTATTTAATATCTTAATTTTATATACACAGAAATCAAATCTGACCCTCTGTTTCCTCGTGGAGTCAATGATTGCAACGAGGAAAATAGTTTTGATTTCCGAAAAGTGAATTCTCGCTGCGAGTTTTATATATATATATATATGCATGCATGTATGTATGTATATGTATGTATGGCTGTATGGCTGTAGAAGCCTCTGCTAATTAAATAGTTGTATTGTGAATAATCGGCTGGTGGGTAGTAAGATCACGCAGTATTGGCGTATATCTCAGACAAACCTTATTATTCTTGCCCCCTTCAATTGGACACGAAGAATACAA